CCCTCCTGCCGTACCTCCCGCCTGGCACCGCCGAGTGCAGCCCTGTCCTGTCTGCCACCCTCCTGCCGTACCTCCCTCCCGGCACCGCTGAGCACAGCCCTGGTGCAGACACACAGGTGAAGTGCCCAGTCTGCTGGGTATGGGTTTCCTTCAGAGCTGGCCCGCTAATCACCTGTCCACAGCCCTGTCCATTGCATGCACCTGTCTTGTTTCTCCTCTGTCTCACTGTCTGAAGGGTCCAGTGGCAGAAGCCCACAGGTTGGCAGGACCAGACCTCGGACAGGCCATTGATTTTTACCTTGACACCTATTAGAGGAGAGTCAGACCTCCTTTTTCCTGCCGCTCCTGGAGTGGCAAAAGTGACAAGCCTGATAAAGCCATGCTGGCTGCGGCCTCCAGGACCTGTCATCTCATGCTGCAGTAATTGGACCACTGACCAGACGGCGAGGAGAGCGGCCACAGTCTCTGGCCACGGCTCCCCTCGCCCTGGTGCGGGGTACCTCCCACGGCTCACCCCATCCCTGGGCATCAAGGCAAGCAGGATCCTGCTTCCTACTTCTGACCAGTGCAGGCAGCTTGGAGCTCACCCTCGGCCCCACCGCTCACCACCCCAGCCCTGGGTGATCACCTTGTGTAGCGTGCTTCCTGGGGGGACTGGGTTGGGGAGTGGGCGAGTCCTCACATGATCCCTACCTCGGTCAAGGCCTGTAGATGAGGCATTGGGGCTCCCAGCCCTTGAAGGAGGCTGCACGAGGGGTGTTCTCTGAGCTTGCTAGTGGCCCAGTGAAGGACCTCAGGGTGGCCAGGCTCCCCAAACCAGCCCACTGGCATCTGTGCCCACTGTTTCCCAAGCCAGAGTCTGGGTCATCCTGGCCAGTGCTGGCACCTGCATTTCAAGCTGAACCCCAGTAGAGTCAAGGTGGCCGCACCCCAAGTCAGGTTTTAGGAGAACCAAATGCCAAACCTTTTGGTCCACTGGACACATACTCAAGGATGCTCAAGACATGGGGAAGGTTGATCCCTTCTGTCCTTCCAGAGTGGGACAGATGGGCCTGGCCATGCCTCTCTCCCCAGCGCTGCCCTGGGAGCCTTTCCTGGAAGGAGTTAGGCCTGTGGGTGTGGGTGCTCAGGGGTTAGAGGGCTGGCCAGCTGGGTGCTGGTGTCCCACGAAACGGCCTCCTGGCTTCACTTCTACCTGCTCCTCGCTCTCTCCCCTACCCTTCCCATCCTTGCTACCTGTCTCCCCCACCTCTTCCCCCTGCTCGTCCCCTCCACCTCCCTCCCTTTCCAGTTCCCACCTCTGCCCACTCTCCCTCCCGCTGCCCTACCCCCCCCGCACCTCGCACCCTCCGTCCTCTCCCCTACCCCCTCCTACCTCTCAGTGTCTCTTCCCTTCCTCACATTCCCTCACTCCTCCTCCCTCACCTGCCCCCTTCCCTCCCTCCCCCATCCCCTCTTGCCTTGGAGAAGGAAGAGAATCTTCAAGTTGGGCCGCTTCAAGGAAGATTGATTAAAATCAGCTGTAGTTTGACTTAATTGGGAACATCTGCTTGGAGAGGGAGCTCAGCTAGAACTTTGTGTAATTAGTTCACAGCTGGTTGCGAGGGAGGCTTCCCAGTGGCGGCTCAGCCGGACAGGCGCTGGGCGCTGTGCTCAAGCTGGTGAGGGGCAGAGAGGGGCTGTGGGCGGCCCGACTCCCCACACCCCACTGCCTGTGGTCACTTGGTGCACATTTATGCTTTAAGAACTAAATCTTGGTGCCAAATATACACAAGCCTTTCTGCATTAACCACCTTCACAAGTAGGCTTTAGCCTCCTGCCCTGTTCACCACACGGTGCCCTTTCATCCCAACCAGTTCCAGATGTTACAGTCACCCCAGACAGCCCCTCCTGCCCGTCCCCCAGGCTTTTAGCTCTGGTGAGCTGTGCCCTCTCTGTGCTGGCCTGGCAGGTGGATGTGGGGTGTTCTGCATTTGCCACTCAGCTGTTTCACCCCTTGTAGTGAGCGCCGACATCGTCTGTGGCAGATGGATCACCACTTCATGTCCATTTATGGCCGTGAGACATTCCGTCATGTAGGTGGACTCCAGTTTGTCCATTTAGATTAGACAGACCCCATTCCGTTTATCCATTCACCTACTGGTGGACACTTGTGGTAGATGGACCACAGCTTGCTTACCTGGTCATCTGTTGTTGGTGGATACTTGGGTTAGACGACTCATAGTTTATCCGTTCACTCACTGGTGGACTCAGGTTAGAAGGACCCCTGTTTGGTTAGCAGTTCGTGTCCTGATGGTCATTGGCTTCAGTAGGCCATATTCTGTTATCCACTGACGTGCTGATGGACATTTGTGTTAGATGGCTCACGTTTTGTGACCCATCTGTCTGCTGATGGACACAGGTTAGATCGGCCCCAGCTTGGTCACTCATTTGTCTTTTGATGAGCACGTGGCTTGTCTCCACCCTTTGGCTGTCTCGAGAACTTTTCCTGTGAACGTGGTCGTCACGGAAGCTCACTTCCCTGAGGCCTGCAGCCGGGAATGGCCCGTGAAGCACTGTTCCATGCAGACCCACCTGGGGCCATGAGTCGGAATGGCTTCCTTGACAGTGGGTTTGCTTTGGGTTTGAAGCCCTAAATGCAAGAGCCACTCTTTCCCACCCTAACCCAGCCTTTCCTGGGGTCCAAGTCCATGAGCTGGTGGGCGTTGGGGTCTGCTGAGACCCTCTCAGCTCCTGGCGAGCACCTTCTCAGCTCATCTTGAACCCAGCTTCCCTAGAGGCCTCTGCCTGAGAACAAGTGGTGGGTTGGCTTTCCTCTGCCCACCTCTGTGAGCTCCCATGGTCACTGCGTCGTGACCCTAGGATGGGAACTGACTGCAGCTGCCCTGGAGGTGCCCAGGATCGAGGGGACACTGCAGCTGGGGTGTGGCACGGCCACCAAGCCCTGCAATTTGCTGCATTCATCTCATTAGTGACTGGCAACTCCACATGTGAGGCGCGCGGTGGGTCACGGTCTCGACCTCACGCACGAGGTGTGTAACAGGTCACGGTTTTGTATCTGAACCACTGTGTTATGTGGTGCTCTGAAGAGCTGTGGTGTAGAGGGGCAGACTCCAGGTCCGGACGGTGTCCAGGATGACAGGGCCTGAGAGGCTAGATGGGGTGCTGGGCACTCGAGGGTCCATTGAGCCCTGGGGTGATGGGGCAGCCGAGTTACAGTCCTGCGGTTCTTCCTGAGGGACATTCTGATGGCCTCACTGTGTGTACCGCTGTATTTCACTCCGCTGCCCTCCTGGCGGTGGCATGGTGCTGTCCCTCGTGGTGATGGTGCCCTGTGTCCGCTGTCCCTCATGGTGACGGTGCCCTGTGTCCACTGTCCCTCATGGTGACATGGTGGTGCCCCGTGCCCGCTGTCCCTTATGGTGACGGTGCCCTGTGTCCGCTGTCCCTCGTGGTGACGGTGCCCTGTGTCTGCTGTCCCTCATGGTGACGGTGCCCTGTGTCCGCTGTCCCTCATGGTGATGGTGCCCTGTGTCCGCTGTCCCTCATGGTGACATGGTGGTGCCCC